GTGCTGAGTAGTCTTGACTGATCCTCTGCATGTGACACTTGAAACAGTGCATCGCTGCTGATTTGATGCACTACAGTGAGCCCTCATCCCCTGGCATTTGTGCTACCTGCGTCTGACTTGTGTAGAAAGCAGGTGGGACAGTGAATATTTTGTTCTTTACAGATAGGGAACTGAAGAACTGATTATTTGACTTTATAGTGGCTGTACATATACTGTCAGGGCCAGGAACTGAACTCTTTAATTTTCCTTGCTTTCTCGCAGTGCAAACAAATCACTTTATGTTCTTACTTGATTAAGCATCAAATTGTTTTCTCTTTGCCCTTCCTTCAGACATTCCAGCTGCAGCTCCTGTCTCCCAGCAGCAGTGTCATCCCTGCATTTAACTCGGGGACCATCACACAGGTCATTAAAGTCCTGAATCCACAGAAGGTGAGTGACTCTGAGAACAGTTACTAAAGGTATTCTTCGAATCATGCATTTAGTGGCAGTTGGTTAGGGACGCGTCTCTGATGAGTGACGGTAGTGAATGATGTTTTTAATGACAGTCATTTTGGTTAGAGTTATAGAAAAGACAGGCCCTACGCACAGGTTTGGCCTTCTCTTTTGTTATACTGCTAAAACAGATTCACAGCTTGCTATCTTCTTGAATTCATTAATGTTTCTTGCAATCAGAATGGTTATTAAACAAGTTTTTAGATGGCCTTACTAGAGGAGCTCAATCTGATGTTTGTATGTGTTGAAAAAGTGATATCTGAAAGGCAAGCATCTTGCCATATAAATATATTTAACATTCATTCTTGCTATCTGCAGCAGCATTACTTGAAATGTTTGTTACACAAAAAATAGCTTGATCCATAATCTTAACAGAATTGTCTTTTTTCTCAAGTGGTGTCATTTTTTTTTTAATGTGATGAGTGTAGTTTTAAACAGTTGATGGCAAGAATCTTTAGGTGTGATTTAATCATAATTCCATTTGGTTTACAGCCTTCAGGCTGTAAAAGACAGGCTTCAAGACTGGGATACAAGAGATTTGAGGGGAGGGAGAGGTGTGGCCCATAAGTCTTCCTTAAGAGGCTTTAGAAGTATTCAGATGGCATCAGAAAGAAAAATAAAATTGAGATCACATATTTCTTCCTTTGTGGAACCACCCTTAAGATCTTACACATCTTTAAGAACTTAGAACATCCTAAGTTTTTCACAGGCTAACACTTAGGTACTGCTCTAGATGTTAAGTGCTGCTGCTAGACTGATGTGCAGATTAGAAAAATTCTCAAATCCCAGACCAAGATTTCACTGAAATGGCTGTCTCCTAGTGCACAGTTTTTGCGGTTTCCATGCATCTCCCCTTATCTCCATGTAGTGGGCTCCCCTCTGCCTATATTAAGGCAGAAGGCTTAATTATTCTCTTTGTCTTATATACATCTGATATGAATTTCTCTGTGGTATTGTAGAGCACTTTCAAAGATCACCTTGAAAGTTACTTTCTGAACTTGGGAGGGTTTAGGAGCTTTCCTGTAAGGTGCCAGAAGTTGCAACATACATACCTCAGATGGGCCCCACACCTATATAGTGGGATGCTTTCTTGTTGGAACACCAGAACTCCTGTGAACACTTCAGAATACAGAGGGTAAAAAGTAGTATTTTACTACCCTCTTCTCTTGCCCACTGTTTTCTAACTCTTCCACCTCAGGCATTTGTGCATCTCTTACTGTCCTTAAGATTGCTACTGCCTGGAAGTACAGCTTTGCAAGAACCCTGTCCATGAGATAGTGTAGTTACCTGGAGTACTCCGAGGGAGGAACCTCGGAACAGCCTTGCTATTTAGGAGGTACCGGCTTGTCTTGTCAGTGTTGTAAAAAAGTCTGTTCACCTGGACATGGACCGTCATTATGCTGGATTGAAACTGATGGCCAGTTTCCCAAAAGAACACCAAATATAGCAAAACCCGCCACGGATTACGTTAATCTATTGGTGATAAAGCGTACTTTCTTTATCCTGAGGCTGGTTGGAGCAGTTGTCTCCTTTCCTCCCTCTGCTCTGCTTTTTGCATATTTCCCTGTCGGTATGGGCAAAAGAGCCAGAAACAGCCACTTTTTCCTTTTCCTTTTTGGGGTTTTTGGGAAACAAGTTTTTTTGAGAGTGAGGAGAATAGGGAACCTGGCTGGAGCACACTGTGCTCTAGCTATGAGTAAGGGCCACCTAGTATCTGGATGACAGCCAAATGACAGAACGTAAAACAGCATCTGAGCTATTCAATCATTTACTCACTGCGGTGGAAATGTTCTTGGAGACTCTGTTTCCAGTCTTTCTTAGGCTGTTTCCTTCATATGGCTACTGAGCTATGCAGTGCTTAAAGTTCCCAGACCGCTGCGTTGAGTGAACAGCTAGGATGGCAAATGACACCTCTCCCTGTGAGCCAAAGTGCAGAGCAGCAGAGTCCAGATCTGCCTCCTGCTTTCTTCCATTGTTAACTGGGATTTTAAGGCAGTTATTTTTGTATTTAAGGACTTCAGTGCTTGTGAGAGCAGGGCCAGTGCAGAGAGAGATGTGGGTAGAAGCTGTGCTATAGCTTTTCTGAGAGCTTTTACCTGATCTGAGAACTACAGTGACAAATCAACATCCTACCAGATTAAATATTTATTTGCAGTGTGATAGCTTACCCTGCACATCCTTCCAGCAAGCTCTTGTGGTGAGGAAAGGTCTGTGTTTTCTATTAATGGGATAAGGGAGGGGAGCTGGACATGGGGGGATTCACTGACCTTTATCGAAGACCTGAATTTGTTTTGTGTTTGTTTTGTTTTTGTTTTTTTTCCCCGTTTTCTTTTGTAGCAACAACTACGTATGCGGATCAAGTTGACATATAATCACAAGGGCTCAGCAATGCAGGATCTAGCAGAAGTCAACAACTTCCCCCCTCAGTCTTGGCAGTGAGGCTCTGGCACCATTCTTATTCTCACCCCACCCAATCAAAAGAACTCTGGGAAGAAGGTTGTGATCCTTGGCAATCCCCCAAACTGCACCATGGGCATGGGGAACAGATGAGACCTGCTGATGAGGAGGAATTTTCCTGAAGTGATTGCTGACTTTGAAGCATATCTGTTAAGACTAATCTCCTCTCCTCCGCTGATGAGGCTGGCGGCTTGTGGAGGCTACTGTGCACTCCCTCACACATGCATTCACAGCCAGAAGCAACATTCCCTTCCCTCCTCCCCTCCCCCTTGCCCTCCCTGCAAAGAAACACAGCCTGGTTGGAAGAGAAGTCTGGAATTTCTAGCAGGGAAACTTCTCTCTGCAGCAAGTGAGCAGCTTCCCCTTCTTTCTGCTGTCTCTTTCCCCTGGGGTGGGCAAGGCGTGTTGTCATTCATTACTAGCTGGATTCCTTCAGGCACTTTCATATGGGGCTCAGACTGGGGACTTGTGGAATGTCAGGCTGCCCTGCCTCTTTCTTCTTGTATCCCCTACGTCTGAAGGGGCTGGAGGCTTCTTATGGCCTATTCAGTGCATTATTGTATACACCCACCTCTTAGTTATGTGATACATGCCAAGAGCAAGCTAGGTCTTGGGAGTTCGTCTGCAAACCTGGGACAGTGCAGGAAAAGAGGTGCTGGTGAGAGCTAATAAAATTGCTTTGGTGCTGTACTTGGAAATGAAGACCTTACACTTGAATTTTCTTTCTTTCCATCAATAGCCACAGCCATGCCGATTCACAGGCAGTCTTCTGTACCTTCCCCAGAAAGTGTGGTGATGTATGAGAGATGTAGAGATCCAAGGAGCAGCTGGTTTTCTACCACAGACGGTTTCAAAGCCTTTTAACCCATTAGTTGTGGCTTATGGGTAGAAAAGACATATTTAATTTTGTAGATCAGTCTTTGAGGGTTCTGTTCCTACTGGGAGACTCATCAGAGACTATGCTGCAAAGTAGCTCTTCACAGTTATTCCAGACCTCCTCCCCAGTTTAATTTCCAGAGCCTACATTAGACCCCCTGGATTCTATTTGAGTTACTTCTGACTGGGATATTTGTGTTGTATCTGTAATATTGGCACTGAAATAAAGACCATGCAGTTTAAAGACACCTCTTCCCATTTTGTTACTTAATTGATCCTTGTAGTTTGCTTCTTGCTCCCCTGTCAGAGGAATGTGCTAGTTCAAGTTCAGACTGAAAGCGACTAAGCCATTTTTTGAATGGAAGCCAGTCATTTTGAGTATTTGGATCCAAAGACGTGAGGTCCGCTACCTGTGTAAGCTTACAGAAGCTGTGTTCGGGTGTGCTTCCTAGTGTGAACTGTTGTTGAGGTAGAGTTCTGTGAATTCTCACGGAGGCGATGCATAGGACATAAAGCACCAGTGTGACAAAACTATTCAGGTGTTCAGCGCTCTTCAGCGAGGAAGAGGGGAGGATGTATCTTAGATCTTCACCCGTGAGCGTGCTGGTAAGCTGAAGGTACTCCAGCTTCCAACCCAGAGCTTTCTCAAAAGAAACGGGTGGCACATCTGCTTTATTTCTGTAGGGCTTTCTGGACAGCAATCATTCAGTGCTCCGATGGCAAGCTTAGATACAGCTTTTTGCATCTGCAAAAGTGCTTACGCTAGGCTCCAGTCCTTGCCAAAACACTGCAAGAGTGGTGCACAGTGTACTTAGGGAAAATTTAAGACCTATTTTGCCCTTGAATCGGTTGTTCAGTCTGCTTTGGGTTTATCTGCATTAAGTAATAGAATGTAGGACTGTCACTGACTTAAGTGCTGGTCTCTGTAGTGGAAGAAGTTTAGCTTCTTTTGGAGGGCATTTTTGCTGCCTTATTGATTAAACAGGTTTGGGCCTTTGGATTAGCAAAGAGCTTTATTACTGTACTGGAACTGGCATCAGCATGGGGTTATAAAATCTAGAAGAATGACGTATGATTTCCTTAAAAGTAATTCTGGGTTGTGGCGGCCATGCCTTGGCTACCAGTGGTGAGGCAGATACTGCGCTTCGACTGGAAGTATCGTGAAGCAGGCAGTCTTGCAGAAAATGGCTGAGTCAAAGTCCATTTGTAGGTGCTGAGTATTTACCTTTGTTGTTTCCACTGCAGTTGTGAGCGTTCACCACCCTGCCATCTCAAACTCTGTAGTGTTGAAGGCTGAGCACGTTCAATCCAGACTCCAGTGAGCTCTGAGGGTGTCCCAGATACGAAGCTAATGGAAAGTCTTTGCTTTGGTTCCTGAACGTCCCACAAGGTCTCCCATTCTCCTCACAGAATTGTACATGGTCACTTGTACTGAAAGCTGGCACGCCTCCATCTCCGTTTGTTTTTGCCGAGGAAGAGCACTGGTGCAGGAGATGAGATGGGGAGACAGAATTAAATGGTCGCTTACCTGGCCAGTTTGTTGCAGCATAGTGGGGAACAGCTTATCTTGTCCCTCTTGTTGCGCTTGTTTTCTGTCCCCTAGAGCAGCTGGGTTTTATTGTTGGTCTCCATCTGGTAAGCTTGTAGGGTAAGCTTGGCTCCTTCAGCCACCCGTGCGCAGGTTGTGTGTTCTGGGAATTAGTCACGTTGTCCTGTATTTCTGAGTCAAGATGAAGGAGGTGATGCACGTACCGGAAATGCATTTTGCTTGAAGCCATCCCTTGGGCTTGAAGCCATCCCTTGGCTGTGGAGTACTCCTTTGTAGCAGCCGAGCATTCCTGTTGTCCTTAG